ACAGTATTTATTTTTGTTGTTGAAATATGTACCAATTTGAGTAAAAAATAGTATAATGTTAACTTAACTTTGTCAGGACCATGAGCTGATCATTCCTAGACCAATTTTAAGTGAGATCGGCCTATTAGAACTTAGTAGCAAAATAGCGGCCATGGCAGCCAAATTGTATTTCTGATTGACCCGAAAAATAACAACACTTTGTCAGGACCATGATTCGATCATTCCTACAAAGTTTCAGTTCAATCGGCCAAGTAGATCTTTACTTTAAGTTTGAAATAGTTTTCCAAAATGGCAGCCGTGGTGGCCATATTGGATTTCTGATCGACCCGAAAAATAACAACACTTTGTCAGGACCATGAGTCAATCATTCCTACAAAGTTTCAGTTCAATCGGCCTAGCAGAACTTGACTTTAAGTTTGAAATATGTTTTCAAAATGGTGGCCGTGGCGGCCATATTGGATTTATGATTGACCTGAAAAATAACAACACTTTGTCAGGACCATGAGTCGATCATTCCTACAAACTTTAAGTTCAATCGGTCCAGCAGAACTTGACTTTAAGTTTGAAATAGGTTTTCAAAATGGCGGCCGTGGCGGCCATATTGGATTTCTGATCGACCCGAAAAATAACAACACTTTGTCAGGACCATGAGGCGATCATTCCTACCAACTTTCAGTTTAATCGGCCCAGCAGAATTTGACTTTAAGTTTGAAATGTAAAATGTTAACGGACGACGGACGACAGACGACGGACGACGACGGACGAAAACGGATAGCAATAGGTCACTTGAGCTAAAGCTCAGGTGACCTAAAAACTGAAAAGCCTTTTTTACTGAATAGGCGAGCTAAAAAGAAATTGCTTTTATGTAGCGTCCCTTTTTTCTGAAAAGGTGAGCTTAAAGGAAATTATATGTTTATGTGCAACAGCATGTACAAAAAAATATATATGTACAAATGAAACTCATTCTAGAGAAAACACAGAAACTCAAACTCTTTGTAACATTAAGGCCAAATTGGTAATAGAAAGAAGAAAAAATGTTTCAGAAATCAGATAAAACTCAATATGTAGATTATTGTCAATTAACAATGAGACCATTCCAACTAATGAAATATTTCTGTATAATTCTACCAATGACAAGATATCTGTATAATTCTATCTATGACAGATATCTCTGTATAATTCTACCAATGACAGGTGTCACTGTATAATTCTATCTATGACAGATATCTCTGTATAATTCGACCAATGACAGATCTCTGTATAATTCGACCAATGACAGATCTCTCTGTATAATACTACCAATGACAGATCTCTCTGTATAATACTACCAATGACAGATATCTCTGTATAAT